TTTTTTTACCTCTGTCTTCCTGCTTTCTTGTTTTTGAAGTTCGCTCCTTTCATGTGCTCGGAAATCTTCTATTCTATTTGTATCTTCGAAATGCCAAGGCCCTGGCAGGTTTCATCACTACACTACAGACGTGCTTTGAGTATCAAGCCCGAGATGCTATCGCATCCAGTCTTTCTGCATCGATAGACTCCGGGTTCATCTAAAGAAATGGCCTTCGTTACGCGCTACTTTATATAACGGGGATCAAAAAGCCAGGTTATTCTTAGAGTGCACACAATTTCATGCGGAAGTCAAAAACATGGTGTATACCATAAAAGATCGATCCATATCGAGCCCTTGACACAACATAAAAGTATTGCCTATGTTTCTGGTTACTAGTAGGGTAATGGTGCCACGAAACCCAACAGGAAGCAGCCTACCCTCTCAATTGATCTAATCGTTAAGTGATTCTATTTGCAAGGTTACTATTAATCGGACTAGAAAGTCGCATAGGCCCAAATAACCATCACTATCATATCAGATCGCCTGTCTGCATGGCGAGTTACCAATGGCGTCTTTGAATTCATGTATCAGATGTGCTGGTAGTATTCATCCTCGCTCATGGAAGTACAAGTGACCCTTTCACTTCCCAAATTGAGCGAGATAGCCGAATGTCCTCCTTTCTTCCGTGAAATCATGGAATAAGGGCAAGAGTGGAAGACGAAGACGTAAGTGATGACTTACTGTAAACGGCACAGTTGCGCTTGAGTACTGGTTGTCTCGCCTTGCAGCTCATTATAGCTCCGACTTGTTCCAAAGAAATCACTCTTCACTGCGTTTAATTTTGTCGTGTCGTTTGCGCTCTCTCAGACTGTTTCCTATCGCTGTCAAATAAATGGTAAGAGTCAAAACTCGTGTTTAGGGCTATCACAGTTACCAGCACATACTAAAAAAAGTCTGGGAAAATTGTGTAATTTTAGTCGTTCGGAACTAATTTCTCATTACAGTATATCCGTCAAGGGTTCTTCTCTGAATCTCTGACCCTGTGCACCATCTCGAAGAAGGGGCAGAGAGAAGAATATTACTCTATAGACTGAGCTATCCATATTGCTCAGCTGCAAAAAATTACAAGCCTCGTAGTTACTCATTTTGAAACTATTTGAAATTACGAAAAATTGCAGACGTAATGGTTTCCACTTTGGTACTTTTTGGTTTTTTGGTTTTCCTTCTTGGAATTGGTCAGAAGCTCCGAGAAGACCTTCATTGTCAACATTCTCGGTTAGCAAATACAATCATCAACCTCAGAGGGCGAACTGGCTGCGGAATCCTAAGGACATAGCGAATCTTGCTTCATCCCATGTAAAACTGCTTATCAGATCGCCCTTGCACTCTAGTTTGCTCTTGGTCGATTGACTTTGCAACTACACTTCTTTAGCGAGTTTCAAATAAAAAAATGAAAAATGAAGCGTCAAAAAAAGAAATGAGCAAACTTTTTTTCCTGAAGAAAGTGCATTCGCTCCTTTTTTGTTGATTTTTTTTCTTCGTGGAACACAAAGCTAATGGGTTGAGTGGCAGTTCGCACTTTGCGTATTTCCAGCAAACAATGTCTGCGCCTCCAATTTTCGAATAGTAGCTTCGCAGCATCATTGTTAAAATTGATTTTGCTCCGACGATTTATTGGATTAACTCGTATTACCCTAGAATTCTACTCATCTTCTTTGGTGAAGTAAAAGGTAGTGGAATTCCAGGAATGGGAGACGCCGACCATCAGTGGCCAGGGGCAAAACAGGAACCGGTCAGTAAGCAATTTCAGCCGAAAAAGTACAAGGATAGCAGTCAAGAATGGCGCAAAGAAAAGAAGGAGGTATTTCAAAATCTTAAACTTTACTTTCCCTAAAATCGATTGGGAACCTCAATTATTTTCAGGTAGCAAATCAGCCTTTGTACGCCTATACACCATTCAAAGCGAATTCGCTAAATCGGGCTACTACACCGCTTGCCTCAAGTCAGTTGTATTAACGAATTCGTTCCGATAGGTTATTTTGAGGGTCTTTTTTAATTTGAGGTGGCAATCAAGTGCAAATAAGAAATAACTGGTGAATTATAAGTTTAGAGAAGCTGAGCACTCTCGTGTTAGGATGCGCTCATGTAGGTAACATTCATACAGAATCATCAGTGCGTTTGAATGCGTATCTGCTTGTCACACAAAGGTTTGAAGGACCAGCAGATTGAGCGCGGGTTTTAACGCCGTCCAAAATAAGATAGTTAACAAAAGACCATAAAAGTTTGGGGGCTCGTCTGTCTTGGACAGGTATCTAGCCGGAATCCTAGATGTCAGGTATCGGGCCATGTCAGCGGTACCGTNCCGTTGCAACGTCCAGCCCGAATGGCACAAGAATTTAAGAAATAGTCATGCCGTTTTTTCGGGAGAGGGCATAATGGAGAGTTATTTTCTACCTCCGGTGCTCGCCTATCGTTAGAAGGAATTCACCATTGGGAGCCCTACGAAGTATAAGAAAATAGCCTAAATCATGGAGAAAACTCCGAAGGTAACCCTTTGTGGAACTGCTTAGCCCTGGTAGTGTAGTGGGTAAGGACGCGTGGTAGGAAATTTCTGGTTACGGGCTCGAGACACGTCCAAGGCAAAGTGTTTTGCCACAGGCTCAGCACCTTTTGGGTGCCTTTTTACGAAAAAACCAGTTGGTTAACCAGCTCTGTAAAAAGTAAAAGAATGCTTGGCATTTTTTTAACTTTACCTCGGTTCCTTGGACTTTGCCTATAAGAGATGACCTTGTAACTCAAGTACAGGGTGGAAGTAGCATTTCATAGAAATCCACGACTTCTCATGGCGTACAACCGCAGTAGATTTTCTATTGTGCTACTAACTGTTTACGGACTTCATCAATAAATCCAAAAAATCCGAAATATTTCAGTCTCTGAACAGCATTACTCGAATGGTACGCTTCGACGCTCCAATCAGCCCAATCCGTTCGTCTATCCAAACCAGCCTCCATCACGGAATGCTCTCCATGGTAGGTCTACCTTGAAGTGTATTTGTCTGACAGCCCAACATCCTAATCGTTTTCATGAGCGCTGTACAATGCTTCTTACCTTTTTAGAACAATGGGAACAATAGATCGACTAAAAATTCTGAAAGGAAAAAAAAGAAGCGAGTCTACTTTACAACTAAAACTGTTGATGTTACTTTAGTTTCAGAACCGCCCCAGTCTCATTCAACACCCAAAGCCACTCATCATATGCAAGTACGACCGGAAAGCGCTGCACAGATGTCAAAGGAACAGAAGCTGACGTGGGGACGATGTAAGAGATTTTTCATATTAATTCGATCAAAGGACCTTTAGGGAGCCCCACAGAACGTAATGATCAGTTCTGAGAAAGCAGCCAATCTAAAGGCGATGGTCAGACCCCAATAAGCAGAATATGAATGTAGGGTGTTCCAAAATTCTCATCGGTGGAATGTCGAGCTGCAATACCGTAACCGGCTCGAAGTTCAAAAATCAACCAATGAAGAGCTCCAAGACTTATCATTGGCATGAATATATTCAAAGTGTGGGGAAACCGATTTTGGAGATTCGACGTCCTGGAACGATTGGGAGTGAACTTATTATATCTTATTTGCAGTGCCTCCATCAGCCGGTTTCCGGTCGGCGTCAGCCATGGGCCGCCCAGTCAGCCGTCAAAGTGATACGGGAATTGGGCACTGTAAGTATTTAGGCTCGAATATACATAAATGACTTGTGCTGAATGATAAAAAATCACAGATGAGAAATTTAAGAAAGAAAAGCATCCAAAAAGTTGATGTTAAGAGAACTTATCAGTTATTCAATTCCTAGAGGGAAACCCAGGCACCGCTTGATTGAAAACTCAATCAGGAGCTATTTTGTTCAGAACTAGTTTATCTTTGGCGGTCACCTACAAACAAGCCAAGATAATGTGGTTTATTGCTTATCATTCATGTTTTTTCTTTTTCTTTTCGTAGCTTTATTCACAGATAACCATCTTTTATTACTCCTTATTATCCTCTATCATCCTTTTTAACACCTACGTTGGGACAANCCGCTTGATTGAAAACTCAATCAGGAGCTATTTTGTTCAGAAATAGTTTGTCTTTGGCGGTCACCTACAAACAAGGCAAGATAGTGGTTTATTGCTTATCATTCATGTTTCTTCTATTTCTTTTCATAGCTTTATTCACAGATAACCATCTTTTATTACTCCTTATTATCCTCTATCATCCTTTTTAACACCTACGTTGGGACAACTCAATAAATCTATCAGAAAACTGGACGATAACAGTGTCGTTCAAACCAGTTTACTGATCCCTTTCATCTTGCAAACGCTTCAAGCGTCAGTCACCATGGGACAGTGGGTCACTCATCTTCGAAGGAGCTAGACATTTACTATTTGTTTACTACCTAATTGCCGTGCTTTGTTTACTTGATGTTTCGTTAACTGCTGTATATCGCCACAGTGAGCGATGCGAAAGTCTCACAAGGATGACGATCTGTGGACCAAATTCCGGCCTCGGACGGGACTCGAACCCATACTTGTGCTTATCTTAGAATACAGCCCAACCCTTGTGAAGCTTCAGTCACTATTTTATATTCCTAACGTGATAACCGAATACTTTCATGATCACCCCCATCACCTTGGTGCAGTTCCGGCTTTTGAGTGCCATGAGCCCTTTCATGGGATAAGATGACCACAGTTAACAATTACCCTTATCCTTCGTTCCTGCAATGGATTACTCTCACTTAGCCCATCCAATTATCAAAAAAAAACTGAAAAATTCCTTGAAAGTTACGGTATGTGCCCAACTTTATTGCTCTGTTGCTTTGCCCGCTGCCCCCTTTGCAATATGGTCCCCACACATTTCTTTGTCCTCTCTCAAACAGAGGCGGCTACCATCAGTGGAACAGCATGAGATACGCGGCGGGTGGATTAGGTAAGAAAGTTCTCAATCAGGCAAGCGGTCCGAACCAGTGGTCTGAACCCAAGAGGTATATGAACAA